CTGAGCTAAATCCCCAGCCCCTTATTATCCCCATTTGTAACTTTTGGAATACAAATGTTTATCTTGTGCCATTTAATGTTGAAAGTGTTTAACTTTCTTTTCATTTGTACAAGGGCTCAAAGCTAAGAGTTTGCCTTAAATCTCAGAGGAGATATCAGACTTGGACTTTTTAGCAATGCTGAAAATGTTAGGACTTTGGCAACTCTTGGATATGGATTAAATGGCTTTTGAATAAAGGGATATGTATAAGTCTTTTGGGGTAGAGGGACAGAATGTTATGGTCTGTGTCTAGATGTTCCCCCAAATCCTTATGCAGTCACAGTGGGGACTTTTCTGGAGGTGGCTGTATTTAGAATGTGTGATGCTAGGTGTAATGGATTCTGTTTAGATGTGCCCCCAAAGCCTCCTTCAGTTACAGGTGTATTTTTTTCAGAAGTTGTTGGATTTAAAGTATGTGACTGATTCAGGGTACAGTGCTAGGATTAAGGGTGCTAGGATGAAGGGTGCATGATTACTAAATCAGTCCACTAATTGGTTTGGCATCCACCCTAATCCCAGCAGCCTATATAGGACATAAAAGGGGCAGAAAGACACTGGTAAGGCCCCCTTGCTTGCTTTGCTGCCTTCCACCCACCATGAACTGTTTCTCCTCTGTGGTGCCCCTCTGCCATGCCACCCTGCCTTGGAGCCAGCTGACTGTGGACTGAAATCTCTACAAACTGTGTAACAAATAAACCTTTTCTTCCTTGACTTTGAGCATCGGGTATTTTGTCTCCACAACAAAAAAGTAACTAAGACTATGACCATCTTGGAAAAAGTAAACATTCAAAGTTTACTAGTCTTGTTCTTGGCTAAACTCTGAATTATGCTCCTGAAGCATCCTGGAGATGGCTGAGATCAAGAGTAGCAGAGCGTCCCTTTTTAGCACTTTGTTGGAAAAAACCCGACATTTTGATTGTAAAGATATGTTAAGTTGTAGGCTGAGGATGGGGTGGAATAAGACATTTTGAATGCTGACAACTGAGAGATTATTACTAATCAAACTGAACTGTGTCAAGGAAAACCTGAAGATTCATTTCTTAGGGTAATCTACCATCCCAAATAAGAAGCAAAAACTTTCTTCCCCCTCATCTGCTTTGTTTTGTTAATGGAAAAAACTATAGAAGTCATAATGCAGCCACACTCAATTGCAGTTCATAAAGACTTTATTCCATGTCTAGTCTTCAAGTAAGTCAATTAGTTCCTTCCATCACACTGTGACAGGAAAACAGAAAAGCAACACACTCATCTTCACACGGCACACTTTTGGATGAACACCTACCTCAATTTCTTTCCCCATGAGCCATGACTTCTTAGGTTCCCATGATTTGGGTGTGACCCAGGAACTCTCTTTTGAATCAATGTTGTAATAATAGTCATATTTCTCGTGCAGGTTGAGTTTCAGCCATGAACCTTCTGTAGATACTAAAGAAAAAGAGTGTTAAATTCTACAAAAGAACAAAGAACCATTGCACATCAATGTAGTTTCTTCAATATATAAAATAATCTAATGAATATGTTTTAATCAAGCACTCACTTAAAGTCATCAAAATGACTCAGTAAAGCAGAACAAATTCCATCTATTTATTTATTTATTTTATTTTTCCGGTACCAGGAATTGAACTCACAACCTCGCCCTTGCAAGGCAGGTGCTATGCCGCTAAGCTAAATCCCCAGCCCTTCCATCTATTTAATAAGGCCTGCTGGGCCAAAGACAAGGAGGAGAAACAAATGTCTAACACTGGCTCTGGCTCCCAAGAGTTTCATGAGGTTGTCAGAAGCCAAATGGCCACAGAGAAGGAAAGGTAAATGAGGAACAGATGTCCTGGGTAGACGTGATCCACACCACAGCAGACAGAGGAGGCCAATGAGCAAGAATCTCTTTACTCATGAAGATGTCCAGCAATTTCTCCCATGGAGACTGTGGCCCATAATTAAGAGGCAATCCAGTGGGCTGGCGATATAGCTCAGTGGCATAAG